CTGACCCCTCACAGGACAGATTCTGGGTTCCCTGACCCCTCACAGGATGGACTCTGGGCCTCCTGACCCCCCACAGGATGGACTCTGGGCCTCCTGATCCCCAACAGGATGGACTCTGGGCCTCCTGACCCCCCACACAAAGACTTGATGTTTCTGGTCTGACACTGGATGAGGCGATGAGGTTCTTTTTATAAAAACTATTTCTCTATTTTTCATGTTTTACATGTTTATATATTTTTGATATGATGTAAATAAACCTAAAAGAAGAGGTTCTGATGTGTTTTTTGGGGGGGTGGGTGAGGTTATGGTTCTGTTTGTCTCCACAGATACTACCTGTGGTCTGAACCAGAAGAGCTGGAAGGTCCAATAAACACCAGATCAGCCTGTAGGGGTTCCAGGTTCTTTTCCTTCATTCGATTCTGATAATGGGAACCAGTTCGGATTATTTTATTTTTATAAGTTTTTATTGATATAGTTTTTATTTTTAAATGGGAGTGAAAACAGGCGGTTATGAGTTTTTTTTTTTTTTTTTTTAAAGATAAAAAAAAATCAGAATAAAAAAAATACTTTTCCCACTTGTAGTTCTTCGCTTGTCCAGCAGGGGGTACGCTTTCGTCAAAACCGGAAGTTCTTCTGTTTTTTGCCGACGAAGAAGAAAACGAGCGACGTTCGGTTTTTATTTTTAAATATTTCGGACCGATCAAAGGTGAGTGGACCAACATTAAACCGGTTTCTGAACATTTTAAACTAAAACTACGAGTTTGTATTTTCTAGAGTTTTTAAACGGTTCGTTTAAACCGCGTCATAAAAAAATATTTCTCAATAAAAATCTTTATTTAATGTTCTGTTTTTAATATTTATTGAACATTTGGGTCCAAACCGTCCAGAACCGGATTCTGTGTTGGTTCTGAGCGCGAGCAATCACAGAATTGTTCTGATTTAAACTTGATTTTTTTTATCCTAAATCTGAGGAAACATGATTAAATCAGTTTTATTCAATACAATAATCATTCTTATAGGATTTATCTCTGTAGAATGTTTTCTGTGAATAAAATAAAAATTATTTTCTTTAGTTCAACTGAGAGAATTGAGATGAAAACGTTTTAATTTGATGTTTCAGGGACTTCCTGTGTCTAAACGTTTTATTTTCAGGTTCTTTGTTCCAGATGAGAAGCCTGTAGAGTCAGAAGGAGCCTGATGGTTCTGTTCATGTCTGTGGTTCTGGTTCAGACCGACCCGTGGGAGAAGAACGGCACCGATGGCTGGTTTCCTGGATCATTTCCGCTGGCCGGAGTGTGTGGACTGGAGCGAGAAGAGGAACGCCGTGGCCTCAGTCGCAGCAGGAACTCTGGTGAGTGACCCGAAGAACCCAGGAGGAGGTTCTGAGGTTCTGTCTTCAGGACCGAGGAGCTGAGTGAGGTTCTATCTTCAGGATTGAGGTTCTGTATTCAAGAGGACGGAGGTTCTGAAGTTCTGTCTTCAGGACCGAGGAGCTGAGTTAGGTTCTATCTTCAGGATTGAGGTTCTGAAGTTCTGTCTTCAGAACTGAGGTTCTGTTCCTGCAGTTCTTCACAGGCTGGTGGATCCTGATCGATGCGGCGGTGATGCATCCAACCCAGGAGGACATGAATCATTCCTTTCACACCTGCGGGGTCTTCTCCACCATCGCCTTTTTCATGTGAGCATTGACTCTGAGATGTCCCTGTCCTCAGAGACGTCCCTGTCCTCAGAGACGTCCGGCCCGTCAGGACATGAACCTTTTGTTGTTTTCAGGATCAACGCTGTCTCTAACGGTCAGGTGAGAGGAGACGCCTACGGAGAGGGCTGCCTCGGACGCACAGGTGACATCTGATGACCCGGTTCTGATCGTTTGGGTTTGTGTGGTTCTGCTGCTTGGCTCTGTGGGGCGGAACCACAGGGACGGGTCTGATCAGAACCACAGAGGAACCTGATCACGTCTGTTTCCTCTCAGGGGCTCGTCTTTGGCTCTTCCTTGGCTTCATGATGATGTTCGGCTCCTTCATCGCCTCCATCTGGGTTCTGTTCGCTGCCTACGTGGTTCCGAGTGAGTCCAGTTCCTGCTCCTCTTTAACCTGACTGGACCGGGCCTTTGGGTTCTGGTCCAACATTAATGATCTGGGTCTGCGGGGCAGATGGAGGTCCTGACCTTCCTCCTGTTGTGTCCCTCAGAGAAAGACGTGGCTCCGGGTCTGGCCGTGTTCTTCCAGAACGCCTTCATCTTTTTCAGGTGAGTCTGAAACTGGACCGGGACCAGGGCCACGGGGTTCTGCACAAGATGGATCAGTTCTTCTGTTTATTACAAACACATTTTACACCCAGTTAGAACCAGAACCTGCTGGACTCTTGCAGGAGACCGACTAAAGACGAGCAGAAAAACTGATTCAGAGAGACGTCGTCGGTTCTGGACGGGTCCAAACGTTCTGTTTGTTGTTTTTAAAACAACTTGGTGTTTGAGAGCAGAGTGCGCCGGTCCACCCATCTGAAGATGTTCCACGTGTGATTAATTTATAATAAAACTAGAGAAATAGCATTTCCTGTGAAAATGCAGTGTGAATGCTTATTGCTGAAGAAATTAGCTAAAAACAGCTGAAATTAGCTAAAAACAGCTGAAATGTAGCTGAAATAGACGACTAAGCCTAAGTTAGCAGAAAAAGCAGAAAGAACACTTATTTGCTGAATTGGGTTTAAATAATCAGAAAATAACACAAAAATTAAGAAATTAGCTAAATAAAAAAAGTTGAAATTAGCAAAAAATAGCTGAGAAGTAGCTGGAAAATCAGAAAGAAGCGTGAACTACCAGAAGGAAGTGAAAAAAGCTGAAAGGAGCTCCAAAAATGTGGAATTAGCTGAAAATGATAAAATTGGCATAGAAACAGCTAAATAGTAGCTGAAAGAACAGAAAAAGCTGAAAAGGAACATAACAAGCTGAAATGCGTAGAAAGTCTGAAAGTAGCAGAAAATACCAAAAAACTTTAATCTATATGAAAACAGCTGAAATTAGCTAAAAATGTTAAAAAGCTAGCTGAAAAGGTAGAACAAGCTTAAATTGGCAGAAGAAAGCAGAAAGAACATGTTTGCCCAATTAGGCTAAAATAAAGCAGAAATGAGCATAAAAAGTGGTAATTATCTGATAAAAGCTGAAATGAGCAAAACAGCTGAAAAGTAGCTAAAAAAAGGGCAGAAAGAAGATTAAATTGCCAGAAGGAAGTGGAGAGAGCAAATTTTTGCTGAATTAGGCTGAAAAAAGTTTAAACGAGTGCAAAAAATGTGGAATTGGCTGAAAAAGCTAAAATTAGCATAAAACAGCTAAATAGTAGCTGAAATAGTAGAAAAAGCTTAAACTTGCAGAAAGAAGCTGAAAGAAGAATAACAAGCTGAAATTAGCAGAAAGAAGTTAGAAGAAGCTGAAAAGAACACAAAACAGCTGAAAAAAAACTGCTGAAAGTAGCTAAAAAAATGTATAAATTTGCAGCAGGAAACTGAAAGAAGCTGAAGCAGAACAAAATGTGAAAGGAGCAGTAAAAGGCTGTGAACAGATCTAAAGATTTTGAAGGAGGTAAAATGAGATAAATTCATTTTCTTTGAGGCAAAAATAGCAGAAAAGGTTAAATATTTCAAAAAGCTAAAGTTGCACCAGCACCAAAAGTCACAGCCGGATTGTCCTGAAAGAGCCGAACGTTTTGATTCATGATTTGTTGAAATAGCTGAAAACTGCGGGACAAGAGAGATGCTGAAAAATGTACAGAAGAAAAATTGATCACAACAGAGTGACTTCATGAACATTCACACAATAAAGATCTTACTCTGAGATCTGTCTCATGGTGTCCCTCTGTGTCTGTCTCTCTGTGTCCTTGTCCTCTGTGTCCTTGTCCCTCTGTGTCCTTGTCCCTCTGTGTCCTTGTCCCTCTGTGTCTCTGCAGCTCTCTGGTCTACAAGTTTGGACGCACAGAAACCCTGTGGGGTTAAAAGATAAAGAAGCTGCTGAAGCTCCGCCCCCAACACGCACCTGTCTTCACACCTGTCCTCAGTGTCTCAAAGGACCCGTTGTGTTTGTCCGGAGTTTTATTTTAAATATTTTCTGTAAATATTTCCTCTTTTCTCCTCAAGTCATTGGCAGCTTTTTATTGTTCTTAGAAGTTTTATTTTGTCGGAGATGTTGGACGTTTTACTATGAAAATCAAAGCACTTCCTGTTTCTGTTGGACCCTGAAGAGCAGCGTCCAGGTTGGAGTGTTTTTTGAGTTTACTGGTTCTGATATTTGCAGATTGACAGTCGGTGCATGAACCAAACACTGGATTATTTACTGTGAATGAAGTTTTTATTCTTCCTGGTTCTGATCGTGCCTCGTCTTCAGGAGCGATTTTGTTTTATTTGTTTTTGTTTTGTTTTCAGTGTTGGCAGTTTTACACGTTTTCTAGAAGCACGCCTCACTCAGATACAAATCAAAACGCAAACAGTCCTACTGCAGACGAAACGTTACATTCCAAACGACGTTCTCTTCTCAGAAAAACATTTTGTTTGCAGACGACACTCGAACGTCTCGTCAATAAACATTTATCAGAACCGGCTGAACGCCGATGTTCTGAGCGTAAAACAAACAACTTAGATCTTTGTTCAGTGTTACATTTAATTTACTACAGACAGTACATGTGATGTAAAATATTTAAGAATATTGTTTTTATACTCGGAACACAAATACACGGTAACAAAGATACTTTATGTCCCACTAAAACTATGAACAGTGTTCATCCCAACCAACATAAAGTGGCACAAACAGCTGTCTGCATACGAAACAGCAGAATTTACTGTAAACGGTTACAGTAAAAAAAATAAAAACGTAAAATAATGTGAAGTCTTTGCTGTTATGTCGCAACTCATTTGTGTATATAGAGAATAAAAGTGGTGATTGCACACAACCCTGTGGAACACCAGTGTGAAAATCACATCTATTATCTTTCTAATAATTTATCTGATGAAATGTTTTAAATCTGAAGTCATCTGTCCAAAAGAGCTCGTTAAATTAAATGTGTCAGATATTTTTTTCCTTTTTACTGTTTGTCAATGATAAATCAAATGTTGATTTAAATTCAGAATTAAAGGATAATTCTGGATATTTTACTGCCTCCTGTGTCGTTTTTTATTTTAATATCTAGACTTTTAATAACCTGTTGCTGCAGACTTAAACGATTTATCATTTTAAGTTTTAAATTAATTTTTTACAACATGTTAGTTGTACAAATCACACAGAAGTCTGATCATTATTCACCGGATTAAAAAAACTGAAGAAAAAATTATTTTTATATTAAAAGATGATTCAAAACTTTATTGTAAACAAAGGATCTTAGTTTGAAAAGTTAAAAACAACAGAAATGTTTCCAGGAGAACTGAACAAATGTACTTAAAAATAAATATTAAGTAAAACTACAATTAAAAAAATTGATGGCGATAAAGAAGCAGAAATCAAATCAGAAAAATAAATAGCACTTCCGGTTTCCTCCACTGGGGGCGCTGTGCTTCCTGACAGAACCCAAGAGTTACTGGAAATGAAGCAGAAAGTCTGTAAAGTTGCAGAAGGTGAAGAAAAAAAAGCACTTCCTCTGTTAATAAATAAAAATAAATCATGCATTTAAATTAGAGAAAGATTAAAGATTTAAACAGACAGGATTTATTCTTAAAAACCACTTCATTATTAACATATTTACATTTTTGTGAACTGTCATTTTGTTTTTTTGGGGTCATTTAAAGTTTGCATTTACTTTGTTTTATTTTGGGCCATTTTGAGTTTCAAAAATCTGATTGACTTCACACAGAAATACACATAAATAATAGAAACATCTTTATTAAGTTTTCAGTTGATAGAGATCATATATCTCCAGTTTTAGCTTCTCTCCATTGGCTCCCTGTCAAATTCAGAATATAATTTAAAATCTAACTTCTAACCTACAAAGCTCTCAACAACCTAGCTCCATATTATATATTACATATCTTGTTGTTCCATATTTTCCTAACAGAGCACTTCCCTTTCAGACTTCAGGTTTACTTGTGGTTTCTAGAGTTTCCAAAAGCAGAATTTGAGGCTGAGCGTTCAGTTGTCGGGCTCCTCTCTTGTGGAACCAACTTCCAGTTTCCGTTCGTGAGGCTGACACATTGTCCAGGTTTAAGACTTTCCTTTTTGATAAATCCTATAGTTAGGGTTGGCTTGGGTTTCCTGAGCTAGTTCTGCTGCTATAGTCTTAGACTGCTGGAGGACAAACTGACCTCACTCTGCTGCTGTCTTTACTTCCTCTACTCCACCTGTTTGTAATGTAATTACTTCTATCTTAACATGTGTTTTTGTCGTTCCTCCTATAGAAAGTACATCTGGACCTGCAACTCTGTGTTTGTCTGTTTCTTCTTCCTGTCCTCTCAAACCCCAGCTGGTCAGAGCAGATGGCCGCTCATCCAGTTCAATCCAACTTTATTTATAAAGCACTTTAAAAACACCCATACAGGACCAAAGTGCTGTACAGACAAGTTAAAAAGCACAAAAAGGAATAAAACACAAGAAAATAATATAATAATAATTATTATTAAAAAGACAAACAGCTGTGCAATAAAAACTGAAACAGTAAAAGAAGTATCAAATAAATAATAATAAAATCAACATCTCACATGGTGTCAAAAGCCTTGGAAAAAAGATGGGATTTAAAAAGAGGCAGCGAGGAGGCCTGTCTGATGTTCCATAGTTTAGGAGCTGCTACAGCGTCACCTCTAAGCTTGAGCTTTGTTTTGGGCACACTCATACTGAACCTGTTCTGTTGGAGGTCTCTTCCTGTTTAAAGAGAGCTTTTTCTTTCCACTGTCTCCTCATTTGTGCTCGCTCAGGATGGGAGACTGTGACAAAGTGAAGATTCAACACAATCTGCTGCTTCCTTAGATAGATAACTTTCATAATTGGCTTTTTTTATGGGTTGAATTCTGTTCAGACTTGGCGCTATAGAAATAAACTGAACTGAATTTCCATTGTCCAGACGTTCTTTCGATAGAACTTTTATTTTGAAGGCAGTCCCACCGGAAGTTATCTGCACAGGTGTTGCTGCGAGCTTCCTGGTTATTCTGACTCGGGTGTTCGCTGCTGCAGGAGTTCGGTCCGGACCAGAACCCAAACATCACCTTATTTGTAAACATTCCAGGTAAATAAATGAAGTTTTCGTGTTTAAAATTTAGTGTTTAAAGTTTGTCGGGTGTTTGTTTGACCGGAAACTCGCTGTCAGAAAGTTTTTAAACTGAATGTTTTTCTTCTGAAGCCGAACCTGTCGAATAAAAATCAGCTGGTCTGAGCCCAGTTGGACCTCAGAGGTTCTGGTTGATGTTTCAGGTTTTCTCACCCGAGAAGGAACAGATTTCTGCACTTCCGCATTTAGCACTGACCCAACCCCCTGAGAATAAATGATTTCTAGAAATAAAGTGTTGCAGAGAGAAGGATAAGACCTCACAGGTTTCACTGTCTGTCCACTGGCCCGTGACATATTTTACTAACAGAGCAGAGAAATGCACATTGACACGAATGTGTTTATTTATTTATAATCGTGTTTCTCTGTACTGTTAGCAAAATATCTCCTGAACCAGTGGATGGATTAAACATCTGAGCGTACCACAATTAATAATAATAGTTATTATTAATATAATTTCAACAAAACCATAAACACATAAATATTTCCACTAAAATATTCTGGAAACAAAACTGAAATGATGGAAAAGGGAGCAGGAAGACTTATCCAGTCCTCTTCCTAAACTTACACCTGTAGCAGTAGAGGAATGTACCCGGCCAGGGAAATGTCACTTCCTGTTAGATAAGTGGGCCGAGTGTAAAAGGAGGCAGCGAAGCCTGTTCTGGCACTTGGTTTCCTCTTCCTGCTTCCACTTCGTGGCTCTCAAACCGTGTGGGGTTGTGGCTGAGCAGCAGATCGTGTCACGCCTGCTGTTCTGGCTTTCGTGGGATGAAGGCCAAGCTTGCTGCGTCCTCCTCCTGTGTCTGTGCACGTCTGCATGTGTGGCAGCAGGTGAGTAGAGGCCCAACTCATTGTCCGCTTTCAAACTTACTACTGTTGGTGATTAGTTGACTGAATTTTATAGGTCCTTGGCTGAAGTTGGGACCACTGCTGTTTGGGTTCTCCAGATTGTTGCACTTGATTGTCCTCAGACGCCTGTGGCTGCTTCACTGGACTTCACCACAAACGTTTTGGGTGCGGTCCCCGAGCACTCAAGTCGGTGGCGGGTAATTGGCCACACACCTGGGTCTGGACTACAACTTTTAAAATGAGTATTTGATTGTTAAAGTTCTCCTTTAGTTCTACTTGTCTTGTTGGTTACAGCCCATTTACTTTGTAAATTGTAATGTATAATTTAGATATTTAGTTGTCCTGTATTTTTGTTTTGTGTTCCAGTTGCTGGGGTGCTGTGCTGGTGTGGTGGCCTTCATCCAGTAACCTCAGCTCCTGGGTTTAGTTTTGTTTCCTTATTTTGTTCATAGGATTTTAAAGGATATTTATAAAAAATGTGCCTAAATAAACTTTTCTAATTTTGCAAGCCTGTCTCGGATGTCACAAGTATTTTTGTAAGATCTACGAACTGCTGCGTCTTGTAAATCACATAATTTTAATGAGAACCACTTGGTACCACCACGCATACAAATTCTGAACCAAACCAGCTTTGTAAAATAAATTAAAATTAAGAACAAAAAATAGTGTAGACCGGGAGAGAGAAAAGTGTAGGTAGAAGCACAAGCTTATTATACCTTCACTATAATAATATATAATGCATTAAAGCAGCAGATTATTTCCTATATAATTTTCTAAAACATATTAAGGAATTCCAGCTAAATTGACAAACTCATAAAAAAACAAAACACAAACAAAGGAAAGAGAAAAAAACTCAAACTTTATATTTGTTAAATTATTTTTATACATTTATTTAAAGTTAAAAACGGTTGTAACTCTTTACTATTATTCCACACCTGAATCCCTCAACTGATGTACAGTTGCTTTTGTTTTTTTTTTAAATAAATCCTTCTCTCTTAAATCAAAGTTTTAAATCATAGTTTTTCATAGATCAATTCAAGATGGCCGCCACAGCCAACTAACATCAAACAAACTGACTCATTAAAATTTACAGATACTGAGCTTAAACCTGGTGTGGTAGTAGCTGAGGGTCATCCCAGCAGATGCATGACACGTTAGCATTAACTGCTAATGCTAGCGTTCACAGTGGGCCTGTTAGCAAAATATCTCATGAGCCAATGGACAGATTTCAGTGGAAGTGTCAGTAAGTACGGTAGACATCAGATGACCTCAGACCAGATCCACCTCAGACCTTTGTCACACAGTATCAGAGTAGTATATTTTATTTATCATCATGCAGTTCATTGCTGTTGGTGGAGAGGGCAGTTTTTAAAACATGGAGGCGGAGTTAAAACTCTGGGGCGGGATTTAAAATTGAGGGCGGGGTTTAAATTTTGCATTTAAAAAAAAAAAAAGCAACCTTGAGGGCAGGTTGCTCGAGCTTCCACTTCCAGGTTCACATCAGAAGTCTAATAGAAACGATGTTTGGATGTAACGGAACAAGAAGTCTGCTTTTATTTTGAAAGAGTCTAGAAAGCAACACAACCATAACACCTTGTGTTTGTGCGCACAACAAAACACGTAGACCACAGTGCTGTATGACGATCAAATGTTTATTTTTATCTTCCGCCGGAGGAAGTGGAACTGTTTTTCTCCCTCTTCTGTTAGTAAAATCTCTTGTGGACCAATGCATGAAGTTGTCTTTGGCTGTGGTTTCATCTAAGGGTTATCGTTTGTGGTCCTGGTCTTCTGATGGAGGAACACCGAGGTGGTTTCAGAAAGGAGCGTTGGTTGAACCACGGTCGGTGATGTTGCAGTCCAGAGAACCAACTCTTTGGATCCAGCTCAGAGTTCTGGTTTAGGCTTCAGTTTGCAGAACGTAAAGGAACCCTTGTGATGTTTTCTCTGTTCTCTGGTTCGTCTGGTTCCAGGATGGGCGTGTTTGAGAACTGCTCGGTGCTCCTGGAGCTCAAAGATTTGCCCTTCAAGGAGAAGAAGAAGCTGAAGTCTGCGGTGACGGCGAACGGAGGCAGCATCTCATTCGTGGTCAATAAAAAGGTCAGAGAACTGGTCTGGATCTGAGGGTTTGTCTGATCTGTGACATTCATGTGTTCATCAGTCCGGAGTCAGGACTCGGACCTGGATCAGTGTCGGTTTGAACCAGAGTCTGAACGTTGGTGGTTCCACCAACAGACGTGATGTTTGTTGTTCTGATCAGCTGATCACATGTTTCAATAAATCAATGCCAGCTCTGTCCAAAGGTTTCACTCTCTGACGACAGATCAGTTTGTTTCCCACAATGCATCATGTTTGTCAGCTTCAGATGAACCTGACTGGGTCTGGAACTGGGTCTGAACCTGGATCTGATCTGGTCTCTGCCTCAGGCTGAACGAGGAACATGCACGTGAACACATCATTGTGTTTCTGCCTACATTTCCCACAGTGCTCTCTGGTTGTGACCAGCTCCGTGTCCATGCTGAGCTCCAACCGTCTACGCAGCATCCAGAAGTACCAGACCCCCGTGGTGGGCCTGGACTATGTGCTCAGCTGTGTGGACCAAGACGTCCTCCTGCCTGTGGACGAGTACAAGCTGGACGCCTCGTCATCTTCATCAGTTCTTCTTCCTCAGCGTCCAGGTGCTGCAGGTTTCTGTTTGTCTCTTTTGAAACACGGTCACTAATCTGAACCCCACCTAGTTCCAACACGATGACTCAGATTACCCATCAGCCCCTGCCTTTCCCTCCACTCACCTTCCAGGTGTGTTCAGGTGGGCTCTGAACACTCCAGCCAGTAACACCAGCAAGACAAACAATAAACACAACAAAGAGACAGAAACAAACTGTTTCCACGTAAAATTATTAAGTCTGACATAACTATAAACAAAAACAACAAACAAACAAGAAATAAAAGTACCACTAGTTTAGAATTTATTCAACAAAGTCCGTCAATAAGTAAATTGGACCAAAGGAACTTAAGTCTCTTCAGATTCTTCAAATAATTAGATTTTATGGACTATAATTCAGTTTTCACACTTCATTTTTATTTTACAGTAGTCCCTCGCTGCTTCGTGGTTTGTTTATCGCGGACTTGCTCTGTTGCTGCTTTTCAAAATAAGATTGGACACGACACACAAGTGTCTGATTGATGGATGAGCCGCACGATCGGCATGGGATTTTTATTCAAAATAAATTGTTTTAAATTATTTAGCTCCTGCTGCACATTTGTGCAGGCCACACTGCAGAAAAAGCTTCCTGCTGCAACTGATCAGCTGTTCTCCGTGCAGAGTGGAGAAGTGGGCGTGGCCAAGAGCGCTTGCAGGTGGCAAAGAGCAGCCGAGGCAGAGCTGAAATCATGACATTCTGTGCTCTTTTAGAGCGTTTAGAGTTTAGAAACATTGTTTAGAATATTGCAAGAGTGTGGGAAGAGTTTAAATCGCCTTTTTATATATATATATATATATATATATATATATATATATATATATATATACACATATATATATACACTAAAATGAACTACTTACTACTTGTACTTGTAGTACTATTGCTACTTTTGCAGTTTTTCACTTATTGCGGTGCTTCCAGGTACGGATCCCCCACGATAAATGAGGGACTATTGTATATCCATTATTTATAGACACCATTTCTCTCAGCCTGCTGAACCTCTGCCCATCTTTACTTCTAAAAGTTCAGTCCTCTGACTGACCTGCTTTTAATTAACAGTTAATTACAAAATGTTCCTCCAGCTGTTTGTAAGCTGACTTTTACAGCCTTTTGTTGTTCCTGGAACAATGTTTCCAGATGTGTTGCTGCCAATGCCATCAATTTTAAAATTCTTATTTTTTGCTAAAAAATTATAAAAAATATATAAATTAGTTTCAGTATCTGATATGTTTATTGTGTTCCACTGTGAATTAAATATGGGTTTATGTGATTTGAACTTTTTCAGAATTTAGAGTTTGTGAAGGACCAAGCAATGAAGGCACAGAGGACACTGAACAATGTCTTCCAAGTGGGTCTTTATTTCACTCCACAAAAAATATAAACAATTGACAAAGTTCAAAATACAGTTAATGGGCCTATAGAAGAGGTCAACTATAACTCCACTCATAAAGGGATTTACAAAATATTAACTGAGTAAACAAAGTATACACATCTAATCTCATAAAAACTGACCAAAGCCACAGCAGGGTAACTTACATGATTTGGTCAGACCATTTACACTTACAGGGTAAACAGAACTAAACATCAATACTAACTGAGGACCAGATGATCTAACTAATCCTAAAACACCCCGCCCTGATAGCACATGGTTGGTCCTGTTGAGCAGGCATTGTGCTTCAAAGTCCTCAGCTTTTGGCCACGCCCCTTCTCCAGCCAGGAAGCAATAACCAAAGCAGGTAACTTAAAAAAAGAGAAACATAATTAATATAACAGGGTACATTTTTAAAAAACACACAGTGTGTGGTTCCCAACACCACTACGAGGTTCAAGCAAAAACAAATTAATTACATTACCATGACACATGTTCAACTCTGAGTTTACCGTGTGATGACGCCATCGCAGGGTTGTAGAAAACTGAAACTTTATAACTTTTTTTTTTTTTACATTTAGTTAAAAGGATTTAATTAAATAAAAACAACTCCAATTCAGTCAAGTTCATATCCAGTTAATAACCCAACTGAACCTGTAGTGTAAGTCTGATGATGGATGGTGAATGGAAGTCACTGCTGGATTTTCTGTGGGTAAAACCACAGCAGCCAATCAGAAGAGAGGGAGGAGTCAATCCTGAGATATAATGCAGATCAGATCATGTAAAATAAACACATGTGAGCAGAGAAGTGGTTTGACCAGGCCAGTCAGTTTCACTGAGCTAGAAAAGCACTGGGATTGTTACTGACAGTGCCACGTGTGCGCATAAAGCACGGCAGCCATTTTGCTAGGTGCTTTGTGGATCGCTGTGTTCTGTTTCCATGAGAAAGCCACATGTTGGTTATGTTTTGTGCGGCCGTATGCTGTCATCAGACTTTAGACACACAGAAATATACTTGTTTTAATAAAATAAACATGAATCTGCTTAACGTGGAAAAAAAAAAAAGACTGAATGTTCGATAACGAGCATCCCAACTAGCCCAAAACACCAAACCGACCCACTGCCAAGTTCTGAGCTTCAGTGTTTGATCTGTAATGATTCTGTTTAACGTTGGCCTGTTGCTACAGGCTGTTCGATCCATATACAAGTGGTGCGAGAGTTTGGTTTGCAGTGCTGATAGTAAGTCGGACCCCTTCAGGGTGGGAGTTGGACTCCACCAGAACTGCCCATTGTCACGATTCTGTTCATAACTTTTATGGACAGAATGTCTTGGTGCAGCCAGGAGGAGGAGGGAGTCCGGTTTGGTGGTCTCAGGGTTCCATCTCTGCTGTTTGCAGATGATGTGGTCCTGTTGGCGTCATCGTGCCGTGATCTCCAGCTCTCACTGGAGCGGTTCACAGCCGAGTGTGAAGCAGCTGGTATGAGAATCAGCACCTCCAAATCTGAGGCCATGGTCCTCAACTGGAAAAGGGTGAATTGCTCTCTTCAGGTTGAGGGTGAGGTTCTGCCTCAAGTGGAGGAGTTCAAGTATCTCGGGGTTTTGTTCACGAGTGAGGGAAGAATGGAGCGTGAAATTGACAGACGGATTGGTGCAGCGTCTGCAGTATTGCGGACTCTGTGCCGATCCGTTGTGGTGACGGAGCTGAGCTGTAAATCAATGCTCTCTGTTTACTGGTCAGTCTACGTTCCTGCCCTCACCTATGGTCATGAACTCTGGGTAGTAACAGAAAGAATGAGATCATGGATACAGGAGGTTGAAATGAGTTTCCTCTGCAGGGTAGCTGGACTTAGAGATAGGGCGAGAAGTTCAGTTATCAGGAGAGACTCGGAGTAGAACCGCTGCTCCTCCAGATCAAATGGAGCCAGTTGAGGTGGTTTGGGCATCTAGTAAGAATGCATCCTGGGCGTCTCCCTAGGGTGGAGCTTCAGGCATGTCTGACTGGGAGGAGACCCCGGGGAAGATACAGGACACCCTGGAGAGACTATGTCTTTTGGTTGACCTGGGAACACCTTGGAGTCCTCCCAGAAGAACTGGAAGAGGCTGTGGAAAGAGATGTCTGGACCTCCCTGGTCAAGCTGCTGCCCCCGAGACCCGACTTCAGAACAAACGGGAAGATGATGGATGGATGGATGGATGGATGGATGGATGGATGGATGTGTAATGTTGGATGGGACATTTTATGTTCTGTGTCTTACGTGTAACAATTCTTTTTAGTGCCTGACAGGTAACCAACAGTTCTGTGTTTCAGGTCCTCGAGACTCACCTGTGCCTGAAGAGAGAAATGATGAAGAAGAGTCCAGGTGTGAACATGGTCTTCATCGCTCCACTCAGCGATTTAAAGCATTTTCTGATAAACAGAATGTGTTGAGAACTGAAGGATTTATTTCCTGTTGTTCAGACTTCATGGTTTTTAATTTAAAAAAGTTTTTTGGGGTTAATGTTTCTGATCCAGATCCGTTTTGTTTTATTTCTCAGGATTTTCACAGAACTGGACTCTGATGTTCCAGAGTTTCCCGAAGACTTCCAGGTGGCGAAGTACGCCATCTTTCAAAAGGTTTGTTTGTTTTTTTGTGTTTATTGTTGTTGCCTTTTCAAGATGTTTGTTAATAAATCATGTTTCTCTGCAGAGGAGCAGCAGCAGCTGGTGCGTGTTGGAGCTGCAGAGCACCAGAACCAAACTGGGACGGCGCTATCGGGTCGTCCGATACTGGAAAGACGACTTGGCGGCAAAGGTGTGATGACATCACCACGTGCATCCACCAGGACTGGTTTTATTTGTTTTTTAAGCTTCGTTAAAACTATTCTCTGTTTCTCTAAAATGTTCCTCCACATCAGTTTGACACCAGCCCGTCCAACAGAACCAGAACATTTCTCCTGAGATCCATCAGAGGCAGAAGGACTCAAATCTGTTGATTCTTGTGTGAATTATTTTCTAGTCAGAAAAACAAGCAAATGAAAAGGCTCCAGTGTTCTGGGTCAGTTCTCCAGACCTCCTGAAGGTCTTTCAGAGGTTTTGTTTGGACTTTCTCCACTTGATTCTCTCAGATTTAATCCCGGGACCTGATCAGACTCTAAATTAATTTGATAATCCTCCTCCGTGTGTCTGACTTGTTTCTATGTGGTTTTTAGAATCGTGGTTGTAAAATAAAAAAAAAAAAACACCTTCTCTTTCCTGGTCCTCAACTGACCTCCAGCAGGCTCCGCCCCTTTCATTTAAACCAATATGATACATTTCAGAAAATGTTTTTAGATGTTGATTTATGTTTGTTTTGTTTTTTTTGTTTCATGTAGCTCATGTTTTGCTGCTACTAGTTCAAATATGCATTTAAATTTTTTGTTTGTTTTATGTAGTTATTTGTGGCCTAAAGAAAAGTGTGGCGTTGCACCGGGACTAACAGCCTGTTGGTGAGCTGGGAGGGTTTGGAGGCGGAGCTATGGAGGTACAGCCTCATGTCCCAAAACTCGAGGCTCTTTCATAAAACGGTTCCGCAAAATGGTTGCACAGACAGGTCCGTCTTTCTCCCTCTGGCCGTTCGTAAATCAAATATCCGAATTTAAGCGGGCCGAGTGGAACCAAAAGAGGCTTTGAGCAAGACTGAGCTGGACCGGACTTATTAAATGTGTGTCGGACGTCAAACTCGTGTCGTTTACTAAACTTCATGAACTTTAACCGCCTACAAATCTGCTCTGTCCTCCACTCTAAATGAACTCTGTTGGTTCATCACATTTCCGAGCCTGGCTGCTTCACGTCGGCCCATTGTTCGGCTCTCGTACTACCTTGCTTGGTGGCACAGAGGAGCACTAGATGTGGGCCACCTCGGTCTTGAACACGTCCCAGTCCCGGACTGAGGGGTCTTGTGAAAGAGCCTTCTGGCTCCAAAAACCCAACGTGGCAGCACCAAAATAAAGGAACGTTTTGTCTTCGGTTCTGAACAGCGGGAGGAAACACTTCGTTCTTCCAGATTCTTTGGTCCTTCTGAGAAGTTCTGAACCGCCCCAACCTCACACATATGTCATGAGATGTTGGTGACCCAACGAGGACTCGTGCTTTGGACTTTACTTGAAGACAAACTGTTCTTGTTTTTGTGTTTTCTTGTATTTTAATGAAAATCATTCAGTAAACCTCCTGTGTGGTTCGGTCCAACAGAACGCAGCGGTGAAGGATCAGCTGGTCTTTCTGTCCACAGAGAAAGCTCTGGAGGTCTACGAGTCTCTGACGAAAGGTCTGGACTCTTCTGGTCTGCAGAGGAAGAGAAGTTTTCCTCCAGAAGCGCCGCACTTTGGCTCCGCCCCCCTGCAGCATGTACGACACAGCAGGATAATATTGTTTTTTTTATTTTTATTTTGGTTAATTTTATAATTTTTTGATAAATATTCAGATATTTAGAGGATTTCAGTGTGAAAGTTCTGTTCTGGTGTTCTGATTGGACTTTAGTTGGTTTTTGCGTGGTTCTGCTGCCCATCAGTTATTGACAGGTCTTTTGTTTGATTGACAGCTGCTGCTGGAGGAGAAGCTGAACACAGGAAGTGTGTCACAGGAAGTGGCGGTGTTTGTGGAGACGCTGTGGACCGAGGCTTTGGGTCGTCTCGACACCGTCCTGAGTGTTCCCATCAACAAGCTCAGCCTGAACGACGTGAGGTTCTGATTAGTCCGCAGTGACCTGAGGTTTTATACACGGTGGTTCTGTGTGTGTGTTCTGTTGGTTCTGATGGGTCTGGGTGTGTGTTCAGGTGAGCCGGGCTGAGGGTTTGTTGCTTCAGGCTCAGAAGAACCTGCAGGAGGGAAACATCTCAAAGGCGTCGTCTCTCCTGGAAGAGGTTTACAACCTGCTGCCCCACAAAGGACCCAGACTTTTAGAACCCGACATCGGGTTCCTCTCTCAGAAACTGGACCTCTGTCAGGTAACACCAACACAGAACTGAACTAGTTGTTCTCAGACAGAAGCGCTTCATCCGAGGCCTCGTCTGCTGTAGATTTTATTAGGAGTTAAATCTGTAAACTCACAAAAAGGCAACAGGATTAAAAAATCATGGACACATTCACACAAACACTGCTACAGCCTCCCCTGATGGGCCCGTCAGAACCCAGGTGGTGATTCAGAGTCGGCACCACAAACACTTCAGTGCACTACAAGGTTTGTTTCAAGCTTCTGGAGAGGAGTTCAGCTAAAGACCTCCAGAAAACTCTGACCTTAACCTCTAAATCGTAACTCTGACTTTAACCTTTGACCTTTGACACTGACCTTAACCTCTGACTTCTAACTCTGAGTTTAACGTTTGACCTCTAACTCTGACCACCTTATCTTTGACCTCTACCACTGACCTTAACCTCCAATGCTGACCTTAACCTTTGACCTCTAACTCCGACCATAACCTTTGACCCCTGACCTCCAACATCAACCTTAACATTTGACCTCTAGCTCTGACCTTAACCTCTAAATCGTAACTCTGACTTTAACCTTTGACCTTTGACAATGACCTTAACCTCTGACTTCTAACTCTGAGTTTAACGTTTGACCTCTAACTCTGACCATAACCTTTGACCCCTGACCTCCAACACCAACCTTAACATTTGACCTCTAGCTCTGACCTTAACCTTTGACCTCTAACTTTGGCCTTAACATTTGACCTCTAACATTAACCCTGTCCTCCTGTAGAGGTCACGACCAGTGTCTTTGTAGATCACAGGTTCCTCCTGGTGGTGATTGTCCAGCTAGACATTGACCTTCAGTCTTCTGATTGAAAGGGGACATTGGTTGATGCCCACCTGGTTGATTTCATCCCAGATGTTTATAACATCTGGACTGTTATGTGCATTTTTTTAAATAATGACTTTATAGAATTACCACAGTATTTAGTTGTTTCATGTTTACCTAAAATATTAAATGAACACCTCATGAGCTCAGGTCAACAGATTTTGTTTTCCTCCAGTTAATCCGAGATGTTCTGAACGTTAGTGAGATGACTCTGAGGAGCCCCGAGCCGTCCTGCGTGGGAAAGTACCGGGCTCTCCGGTGCAGCATCGAGACCCTCCCTCCCGACAGCCTTGCGTTCCAGAACATCGCCGGTCTACAGCAAGACAGGTTCATCCCCATAACAGAAAAAAAACCACCCAAAATGTTCAGCAAAGACATTTCATCAAACCTTTACATGTTTCTCTGTTGCAGCCCCGTGCAGATCCATCAGATCATGCGTGTCAGCAGGGGGGCGGAGCTTCAGAGCTTTAAGGCTGAACTCGGGAACATTAGGCCCCTCCTCCACTCGTCCAGTCCCAGTAACTTTGTAGGAATTCTGTCCCGGTAAAGTCCTGACACCTCAAACAAAACATTTACAGACAACATGAAACTGAAGAACAGTATCCAGTTATGACTGATACCTGATGGCGTAAATTAAAAGAAAAGAGAAATAATTATACAGTATATTCGCAAAATTATTACAAGCTTGGTCCAGTTTGTAATACAACGATTATATTTTCATATTCCCACTGAGAGTGAGTCATTTAAATCAGCTCAGAAAATTACAGGTCAAAATAAACTTTGACTGGAGGTCAGAGTAGTTTCTTATGTCTCACCGCCAGAAAAAGACTAAAATTTGTATTTGTTGTAATATTTTTGTCATGTTTTTAAAAGAGTTTGGAGGATGCTGCTAAAGACCTGATTAAAGACAAAATGAGGTCCTTAGTTTGTGTAATCTTGAGGTGTAGAACAAATTTATAGTAAAAAGATTTGCATTTGGTTTAATCCCTGATAACAGTCGAGTGAAGCAAACACACTTAAAACCCCCCAAAACAAACAAGTCTGAGTACACATCCCTGAAGAACCCCACAGGTTAGAGAACTACAAGAAGATACTTCAACATCAGCACCAGCACAAAACAATAAAATACCTCCCTATAAATATCAAATCTCTATGTTTTATTGCATTTCAGAATAAGAAATGTGTTTTATTGTGAAACTGCCTTCTTAGGGGCTTGCTGCTTCCTCGTGTTGGAGTGGAGCATCATGGGATTGAAAGAACAGACGCCGGGAACCTCGGCAGTGGGATCTACTTTAGTGACTCTGTGAGGTAAAAACATCTGTGAACAAGTTTGTTCTTCAGAAATCTCTGACATCACGTAAACTCTTTAAATGAGGTGAGACAGAGAAAACATCTGAAGGACCAAACGTTGGGATGTCTGAGCTGTTCTGGCATTTCTGTGGCGTTCAGCACCCACAAGTCCTTCTCGTGTTTCCTGTCCACAGAACCAGTCTGAAATACTCCAAACCCAGTGAGACAGATGGATCCAGGCTTCTGCTGGTCTGTGACGTGGCTCTGGGACGGTGCAAGGATGTCCATAAGAGGGACCTGACTCTGAGCCAGGCTCCTGAGGGCCACCACAGTGTGCACGGGGTCCGCCGCGCTCAGAACCCACAGTCTGACTTTGAGGTAGGAAGTCGCCATCGAAGGTTTACCACGAGTTCAGACTTATCTGTATTTATCAACGTTTTGTGGACCTGCAGGTGAACTGGTTGCTACCATCTCTGCCTCTTTGTGTTCCAGGACGATGAGTTCGTCGTTTATTCTCCTGATCAGGTCAAGATAAAATACGTGATTCGGTTTAGTGTTGAAGGGGACCACCTGAAGGACTTCCACCCTGCAGTGGACACATCAGCTGAAGCATGTCAGCCTGTCATGGACCAAGGTGAGCTCCAGATTTTTTTCAGTTTCTCCACATGATGTGGTTCTCATGGGGTTCTAGATTGTAGATTTGATCCAGTCTGAGACTCAGACCAGAGGATTTAAACAGTTTTAACATTTTTGAAGGTTTAAGTCGTGTGAAGAATCCAGGAGACCAAAGGTCAAACATTAGGAGTTTTCATTCTTTTTATGAGTGTCTAATAAAAGGGTGAAAAAATAAACTTCTTTTATTTATCTTCATCTCATTTGTTTGTGCATATTCCATATTTTGTCTTCACTCCATTAACCCAGTTCAGGGTAATGGAGAGCTGGTATGAATATCTAACAGATCAGATTTCTGTGTGCAGAGTCTCTTCCTGTAGTAGATGGTGACATGGAAAACCTTAAAAACCCTCTGGAGGACGTGACAGCTGGACTGTTGGACAGCTCGGGACAGCAGCTCCCCCTGCAGGCCGTCCATGTGAAGTGCAAACTGATGGATCTTCTCTCTCAGGTGGAACAAGAAGCTCCTCGTTTAGGTTTAGGACTCTTTAATGATTTCATTTAAAGCTAAATGTGAGTTTTGTTTTCTGTTAGGTGATTATTTTCCAGAAATACACCAACCTGAGCTCCGTACCCATCGAGGCGAAGTACGTCTTCCCTCTGGATGATTCTGCTGCCGTGTGTGGATTCGAAGCGTTCATCAATGGGAAACACGTGGTGGGACAGGTAACCTGCTGGAGATTCAACTTTCAAATGACCGAACCAGGACAGGATTAAAACCCACAGCAGAAACCTGTTCGACCTCAGACATGTTTGAAACTTCAGCAGAAATTCACTCAGAATTATTGATTGATGCTACAACACCCAAAATGTCCACACATCCACTCATGCTCATCATCACACTTTTGATCTGGTTCTGACTTGTGGCATAGAGATTAGCTATTTATTAAAACATCTTCACAATCCTGTTCTGTCTGACCATTTTTAATAACCTTTGAGTTTACATTAAATGACTACACAGCCACTGAGAGTAAATTTCATTATAGCAGGTGCTTATCTGTGAACGCTGTAACCAAAATTAAAGAATATTGTTGTTTCCTATGTCTTGCAGAGTAATACACCAGAGAGCAGTGACTTAGATGATCTGATTGATAATTTTACAACTTCAGTGCAAACTTCACTTGATAAAATTGCACCACTGAAAAAGAAAGTAATCATTCAAAGGAAGCTGGCTCTTTGGTTCAATTCTCTTATGTACGGGCATCTAGAAAGCTGGAAAGAAAATGGTGCTCCACTAGCGTGAGATAATTTTATTTAGCTTGGAGAGATAGCCTGCCAACATATAAGAAAGCTCTTTGTAAAGCTAGAACTGTATTATTCTTAAAATGCTGCTGCCAGAGTTTTAATGAGAGTTGGTAGGAGAGATCATATCTATCCAGTTTTAGATGACCTCCACTGGCTCCCTGTCAAATTCAGAAACTAATTTAAAATCTTACTTCTAAAATACAAAGCTCTCTACGACATAGCTCCATCTTATATTACAGATCTTATTGTTCCATACTTTCCTAACGGAGCATTTCGCTCTTGGACTACAGGTTTACTTGTGGTTCCTAGAGTTTCCAAAAGTAGAATGGGAGCTGAGCTTTCAGTTCTCAGGCTCCTCTCTTGTGGAACCAACTTCTATTTTCTGTCTGTGAGGCTGACACATTGCCTACATTTAAAATTAGGCATAAGAATTTCCTTTTTGATAAATTCTATAGCTAGGGTCGGTTGGGTTTCCTGAGCTATCCCTTAGTTCTGCTGCTATAGGCTTAGACTGCTGGAGGGCAAATTGAGCACATTTCCTCACTCTGCTGCTGTCTTTACTTGCTCTGTTCTACCTGTTTGTATTTGTAATTATTTCTATCTTAAAATGTTTTTTGTATTTCCTCCTATAGAAAGTTCACCTGGACCTGTCATTCTGTGTTTGTCTGTTTCTACTTCCTGTCCTCTCAAACCCCAGCCGGATGAAGCAGATGGCCGCTCGTCCTGAGGCTGGTTCTGTTGGAGGTTTCTTCCTGTTAAATTGAGTTTTTCTTTCCACTGTCTCCTTTGTGCTTGCTCAGGATGGGAGACTGAGACGAAGTGAAGATTCATCACAATCTGCTGCTTCCTCTGATAGAGAACTTTTACTAACTGGCTTTTTATGTATATGATTGTTTTTGTTCAGCGCCCTGAGACCACTTCTGTTGTGATTTGGAACTATAGAAATAAACTGAATTGAATTTAGAAAGTGTGCTTAATTTGTTTTGGTTATTTCATTTCTGTTCTTCAGATGTATGATATTCTGATAATCATATATATATATCTGTATTTTTAGGTGAAGGAGAAGGAAACGGCTCGAAGGGAGTACAGGCAGGCGATAGAGAGAGGTCATGGAGCGTACTTGATGGACCAGGATGCTCCTGTAGGTTCACCAACATTCTGACTCACATTCTGACAGACTAAAGAAGTTCCTCCTCCAACCTGTCGACATGTTTTCCATCCTGTCTGCAGGACGTCTTCACCATCAGCGTGGGGAACCTTCCTCCTGGAGCCACCGTTCTCATCAAAGTGACATTCGTGTCAGAGCTGGTGGTCAAAGACGGCAGCATCCTGTTCTCCCTGCCCGGGAGCGTGGCGCCGTGGCAGGAGGACGCCGCACTCAAACAGACTTCACAGGTAGGAGGAGCCTGAGCTGATGGGGCGGGGCTTACACAAACATCTAAAGGCTCTGAAAAGTATAAAGAAAAAACTGTAAATAGGAAGAAGCAAGATTAACTTTATTTTTCATGAACTTATTGTTGTGCAAACTCTCTGCTACATATGTTTACTAAAACAGATTAAAGTAATTGTAATAATTTTTGTATGATTAGTTGTTATGGGATTTATTTATTTTTTATTTAAAAAGTTGTTTGGTGTATTTCTGGCTCAGGTCTCTGTGAAGAAAGTTTGTGTGACCGATGAAGCTGCAACCTCAAGGTCAGCCACATTATTTTCCTGCTCTTTGGGTTTATTTTTAATCCATGAGATCTTCAATATTCACTGAGAATAAATTGTAAAGATTGTTGTTTCTGTTCACAGAGAGACTAAGTTGTGTTTAATCTCATCTGTGTTCCTTATTTGTTAATGGTTGTGATTGTTGAGTTAAATAAAAGAACTCAGATGGACATAATATTCATTTCTGTCCCTCAGAGAGTTCACGCTGGACATGTCTGTTGAGATGCCCAACAAGATCTCAGAGCTGCACTGCATCACTCATCAAATCAAGATGAAGGTGATTTTACCCTTGATTAAACATCATGGTATCATCTGCATATTGTGACATATTTTACAGATTATGTTCTCTTTTTCTGGTCATAGATCTTCAGTGGTTTGAGTTTAGGTTTATCTATAACTGAAGGAACATTTTTACATTAAAACACTACGAACAGTTAAATATTTACAATAATTACACAGTTTTATCTCCTGTAACTCTGCTGTAAGTCTGAGGCAGAAATCTTCAGTTTCTTTTCTTCGTGCCGATTGTCTTCATGCAGAGGACGGACTGTAAGGCAGTGGTCAGTGTTCTGCCGGGTCAGGTCATGGGTCCAGATGGGTTCCAGCTGTCTGTTGGTCTGTCTGAGGTGCACCTGCCCAGGATGTGGGTGGAGAAACACCCCGACAAAGAGAGCCAGGTCTGTTTATCTGCTGTCAGCCTCCTTCTGTCACTCTGAAAGCAAAAGATTTTATTTTTGTTCCACATCAAAAGTTTGGCTCTCTTAACGTTTGGAATCACAAACTGTTGCTTAAATAAAGTCTCTGTTCCATCCCTCTGACTGGCTGGATCTGATGAACATTTGGGTCCAAGGTTTTGCTCAGATAAAATAAACAACTGATATGATTTCCATAATCAATAATATTTATAATTTTTTCACTTCGGGTAGTTTGATTTAAATGCGTACAAATCATTTTAGTAACTGCTGTTTAACAATGCTTTTGTCTGTGTCGGCAAAATATCTCAGACAGAAACAGTCTATGTATTTTAATGAAACTCAAAGTATTCATTAGATGTACATCTACATCTGTTTGGAGTCGACCTGATTCAAGATGTCCGCTACAGCTAATCATGTTTGATGTGGTAGTAGCTGGGAGTCATTCCCCCACAAACACTGAGCACTAACAGATCATGCAACAATTTTTACCTCTCTCATATATACCCATATGTACAAATAAGTGAGGTTGACTCTGAATTACTGACGTTTACCCATGGAGTACCACAAAGTTCAGTTCTTGGCCCAAAACCTTTTATACTGTTCATAAACTACATATATAATGTGTCTAAGATGATGCATTTACTTTATATGCAGATGATATGACTTATGCTGCAATGGTAAAACTTTGGAACAGCTTCTGGGTATAATGGAAGGGGAAATAAAAGTTTATAGAAATAATTTTACTAGAATAAAATATTGCTAAATTATGGGGAAAATTTGAGTATTAATTGAATTTAAATTCTATTGGAAGGCACATCAATAATTTAATATTAAACAAAACAAAATATTTACATAAAAATCAGTTTTTGTTTTTTTTTTTTGGTTCCCTTATAGTTTCATATATGACTTCCTGTCTGAAGTGCCTATAAAATAAACAAACACAAACAAAAATCAGTTTAGAAGCTGCAGAAAAAGTATTGAATGTTTTGTTTTTTTAAGCTTCTAGATTTTTTTTCTGGAGCAGTTGTTGTATTTGTTGGTTAAAGTTTTTAATAAAGAACTGATTATTATTAATGATCTATGTTCTGGTTCAAGTTGACCTGACCCAGTCTCTTCTGCAGGCCTGCATGCTGGTTTTCTACCCAGACTTTGAGCTGGACTCTGGTTCTGAAGCTTCTGAAGTGGTCCTGTTGTTGGACACGTCTGAGTCCATGAGGGGGGAGACGCTCCGTCTGGCCCAGAGAATCGCGCTGCAGGTTCTGAGGAAGCTCCAGAACAGCACCAGAGTCAACGTGGTTCTGTTTGGGACAGGTTGGGTTTTAGAACACAAGAACCCGAACAAACCTTTCTGTGTGACAAACAGAACTTTTTTCCCTCTGTTTGTATTTTTTTTGTTTTCTGAAACTCAGTTTGAGCTTTTCTGCTCCTAAAGTACTCTCTACTGTTTCAGTCACAATTATTTGTCTGTTGGACTTCATGTTTGTTGTTTTCACATCAGAGCTTCCTGTTTCTCATGTTTGTTGTTTTCACATCGGAGCTTCCTGTTTCTCATGTTTGTTGTTTTCACATCAGAGCTTCCTGTTTCTCATGTTTGATGTTGACACATCACAGCTTCCTGTTTCTCATGTTTTGTTGTTGTCACACAAGAGCTTCCTGTTTCTCATGTTTGTTGTTGACACATCAGAGCTTCCT